CCCCCCCCAGGGGGCCCCAGGTGACAGCAGGCGCTGGCCCAGGCCTGTGCCTCCAGCCTGTGCTCAAGTGTGCTCCCAGTCGCTCCTCTAGATCCCAGCGCTCCCTCGCAGCCTCCGGACCGCTGCGCCTTATCACTTGTATGTAATATTTTGACTTGGGTTTTTGTCTTGCTGGTTTTGTGTCTTATTGCTAGTAATGATTTCTATAATCTATAGTGCACATTAAAATCATACGGCCTACCTCCTCCAGTAAGTGTTTTTCAATCAGCACACATTTTCTGTTGGAGGATTTTTTTCTACCAGGGGACCAAGTACTTGTGCAATAGCGCTATCTGCCCGGCCCTTCTGGTTCCGTTTTCCCAGTGCAATGTTGTTGGGAGGTGGGCGGTGGCCTGGTGCGTCTGCACCTTCCACAGGGTTAGTAGCTTCGCTCTTGCTCCCTGAGGAAGTGCACACGGAAGACTGAAGTTGTGGGGAGCTGGAGGAGGGCCTAAGCGTAGGGCACTTCTCTCACTCCACCCTGCACCCCATTCCCCAGGCTGCTTCCAGAATCAGATCATCAACTGACAACCTTGGAAGAGGGGCTGCGGTTCAGTGCGGTGGTTAGAGTGCTTCGCATCCCTGGAGCGTTGGTCACAAACAAAGTTAGTTTAATTTATTTCTGGGAAGCTTGCTAGCTTTGTTTTTTGTTTTGGTTTGGGTTTTTTTGTTTTTGTTTTTTTTTTGGCTTGCTAGTTTTTGAACCACCTATCCAGTTGCAGTGGGAGGAGCTTTTCTGCGCTCTTGGGGTCTTCAGGAGGGGTGCACGTCGCGGCGAAGTGCCCACGACTTAAAGCAGAAGAGGGCAAACCTAGCTCACTGTTACCCGTCCCTGCGCAGCAGGATCCCAGGCAGAGCACAGGGGAAGGGCCAGGACCTAGGAAAGCTCTCATCCCTGGCAGCCAGGGAGGCAGAGGAAAGGGGGCCTGGGGATGACAACATGCCCTCCCAGGCTGCACCCCACCAGCCTCCTCTGACAGGCCACCTACAGCGGCCCCATTACCCAGTCACCTCGCCAAAACCTCACCTCTGAGGGTGACCTACTTGTGGGACACCCTGGATCTAAAAAGTAGCGGGGGTTTGGGAGGCAGTTGCTTATGAGAGGTTGGGGGGACACTCACAGCCAGCACCCTGCAACCCTGGCACCTGAGGAACGTTTGGGGAGCCTTCATTAGAACCGTGGGAGGGGGCTGGTGAGATGGCTCAGGGGTCTAAAGCACCTACTTAGAACAAGCCTAGCAAAGCACAGGGACCGCGGTTCAATCCCCCAGCACCACATGCCAGCCAGCCCCGCCCCCTGGTGGGCTGAGCTGGCCACACACACACACACACACACACACACACAAATAAATAAATAAAATTAAAAAAAAGAACCGTGGGAGACACAAGGCAAGAACAAAATGCAAATGGCTTTTTCATGACTGTCCTCTAAGTGGGGGCCATAGCTCATTGGCACAACTGCCTGCTTGGCAAGCACAAAACCTGAGTTGAATTCCTGGTACAAAAACCAAAAGAACTGTCCTTCCACTGCCCTGCCTCCACCCCAGTAGAGCCACCACAAGATGCCTGCAGGTCCTCCAGGACTTTCTCGCTAACTGGGTAATTTCTCCTGTCAATATCCCTTTCTTCTCACACCCAGTGCAACTGCCTGGGTACTTTAGAGAGATTTCAGTGTTCTGAGAAAGTTCGCAAGCTAGCCAACGCCCTGGGCCTCAGCACTCTCGGCTATCACTGGAGCTCTGACATAAGCTTCTGTGGCCTGGGCCTGCGGGCCTCGAGGCCCCTTCTTCAGGCCCGCTCCAGGGTGTAAGCCGCTCCTCCACAGGTGAGGGCCCAGGCTTTGGCTTGTTTTTCTGGAAGAATACATGGCCTTCAGGGTATGATTCAGGACTGAATTCGTGGAATTTGACCACCCAAGGTGGGCCATTGAGCTCCCATGTGGCCAGCTTGGGCCTCTATGCTTCCCTGGCCACCGAGGAAGGAGACTGGCTCTTAGCAGGCAGTGCAGTGCCCCATGGGGCCAGAGGCCTGGCAACCATGTGAGAGAAGCAAGAGACAGACCCTTCTTCATTTGCTTTTATTTTGTCAGTTCTGGAACATTCTTGGCCTTAGGTGGATGGAGAAGCCCAGATGGAAGGGTGGAAGGGTGGTACACGGCTTGGCCCAGAGAGAAGCCTGGGCACCAGGGTGCTGTGGGCCTGTCACAGGAGCAAAATGAGCTGGAGGAGGAAGAGCTGAGAGGACAGCAGGACTATGAAACTCTTGGACTTGATGACAGTCTCCTGAGAATTTAAGCCAGTCAGTGCGGAGGGAGCTTCCAAAGGAGGGGCGAAAGCGATGTCAGGCTCAGGGGTGGCCTGCTTCTTCTCTCTGATCCAGTCAGTGAAGTAGGTGACTCTGGCAAAGACGCTGGGACCCACAGGACTTATACATTCTCCACTCCAGCTGGCCACCCCTATCAGGTACCAGACACCTTGTACTGGGCAGACAAGGGGCCCCCCAGAGTCTCCCTGAGGAGAGAGAGGACACAGATAGTGAGATGGAGACAGGGAGGGGCACCCACTGCCCACAGCAGAGCAGACAGTGGGCTCCAGGTATTGCCAGTGCCTGCAAGGGGGTACTTATCAGAGTAATCTTGAGAATTTTAAAAGTCCAGACACCAAGGAGGTGACAATCCCTGGGTTAGCATCTTCAGAGTAAGGCCCCAGAGCCCCATCTCACACACTTCCAAAGGGGACCTTGGGCATCACTCAAGTGGGCAGTCACAGGGCTATGAGAATGAACAAAAGGCCTCTAGGGGCTGACAGCTGCACTCTGCCCTCCTGCCCTTGGGAGAGGAGGGCCTCCAAGTCCCATGGGGCAGGATGGTGCGGGAGAACCATGACAAGACGCAGTGTAAGTGTGGCCTTTGGGTGGTGGCTGCATGAATGCAGTGGACCCTACAGCTTCATCAAATAGTGCCACTTAAGCCCTTTTCCTTGCATGCTGCATTTCCACCTTTGTTTAAAGATACATAGCAAATGGATGAGATGGACTCGTGCTACTTCAGGAGTCTGACGTCTTAGGCTGAGCTGAGCTCAGGGAAGATTTTAGAAAAGGGGCTGTAGCAGAGTACAGAGAGGACACAGCGCGGGTTCACAGTCACTCAGGGGCACAGGGGTGACCAGGCTGTGTGGCGTCTGGGAGGCCGCACTTACTCTGCAGATAGATCTTCCTGTTGCGTATTCTGAAGCACAGACCATGTCCTCCTGTACTGTGTAGGCATTAGGGTTATCCTCACCAGGCAGAGGTGCGTATGCAGCCGCACAAGACTCCTGGCTTATGAGAATCACCTCCCCTGCCTGCAGCTGGAAGGGCGCAGGAAGGAATGCTGAGGGGAGAATTCAGAGATGAGATGCAGCCTGGACAGAACCCTGGTTCCTCTCCAGCCTGCCTGTAGCCAGAGGCTGGCAGCGGCCAACACACAAACACCAGGCGCAGGCGTTCAACAGAGCCAAGAGAGGGCCTGTGGGGCAGGACGAGGACGGAGGCCAGTGAGGCCGCAGAGGTTGGGGCAGAAAGAGATGCGGTGCGGTCGTAGCAGGGCCCAGAGCAGGCAGTGCGACCTGGCCAGGGCCGTGGGACTGCACATGTCCTCTAGGATATTGCTAGTGATGGGGTGGCCCACATACATCCCGAAAACAGTTCTCCTGGCTGTTCCGTGGAGCAGAGGTAGCCAGGGCAGGATGGAAGTAGGAGTTGTGACCTAGCTAGGAGCTGGCTACAGTGCACATCACAGATACCAGGTCACTTGAAGTGAATGACAGTAAGGATGTCCCCACCTCGAGGCGGAGCCAGACCCAGCCACATGGGTTCTTCTCTAGGCGTCACTCATGCTCTGACCTGCGGCCTCTGCCATGTGCTAGCCCAGTACTAGGATGACAGCTTGCTCTGGTGCTTCCTCTGTGTGGTCGCTTGTGAGTCATCAGGGGCTGCTGGTGTGTGGCGAACCCTCGGCCTGCGTCAGAGGCCAGCAACAGCCATCATGGGAGAGTGCGGAGGACAAGCCTGAGGGTGAGGGTCCCTGATGTCAGCTGCTGTGCCCCCTGGTGGCTCTCCCGCTCGGGAGTTAATTCACGCTGCAACTGCTCTCTTTTGGCCTGGCTGGGATACATCCTGCCTGCTTCCAGTGGTTCTGAAACTGACAGCGCACCTCAGGAAGGGGTCTGGACATGTTAGTGAGCCGGCTGTTCCAAGGACTAAGCCGTGTCACTGACGCTTAGCGGCCAGGAGCCGTCCCTGGCTGGAGCCTCTGCATATATTGGCTCTATCCAGATGTGAAGGATACTCCTGCCCCCAAAGCCTTCGTGGAAGTGCTCTATGTGGGGATCCCATGCGTCACCCAATTTTATATTCCACTTTTTCCTCACTCACAGTCATTATTTTCTTAGATCAAAAGTGCAAAACATCCCTTTCCAACATCTCCTGTTCTCAGCCTAAAAATATCTGGCTCTCCTTCAGAACCACAGGCATTCTGGGCACCAGAACCCACAGACGCTCAGCAGTCATGTACAACATACCCTCATGGTGCTCACAGGGAACGCATGTGCTTCCTGGACACTGAGTTATCTGCACACCCCTAAGGTACCTGCTGCAATGAAAATGTGACGCAGTATTGACACTCCACTGCTCAGAGAAAAATGACCCCGAAAGGATGTACCCTCCCCGCCCTGAATGCTTGGGGTCCACTGCCCGTGAGCTGCAGGTGCAGGATCACAGAGGCAGGGGGCTGACTGTGCAGGTTGGGAGGATGGACAAGTCTTATTTGCATGAAGGGACACACAGGTGGGTGCTCTTGGCTCTGAGCACCGCGCTGGCCTCAGGTCAGAGGGCAGGCAGCTCGCATCTCCTTATTCAGCCCGGCGCCTTCTGTGGCCCTGGAAGGTTGAGCGGTGTTTCATGTAACCCTGAAGTGGCCAAACCCCAGAAGAGCCTTCGGTGAGGGGGGCAAAATTAGCTCTGAGCCCCGGGGACTCCTGCATGGCTCAGAGGAGAAGAGCCCAAGTTTCTGATTCTGAAAGTTAGAGATTTTTTTTTTTTTTTTTTTTTTTTTGGTATTGTTGAAAAGGGGTTTCCCTAAAGATCAGAGTCACACTGTTGCGCCCGAATTTGTGATCCTGCCTCCCTCCTCCTGCTGGAGTGTTGCGATTACAGGCATATGGTTGGCCAGGTTATTTTTTTATATAGTAAATGTTACTG